GACGCAGCCTGGCGGGGTTTGCTGGTGTGGACCACAGCCTTTAGGGAGCAATGCCTTGATTTTGGAGAACTGAATGGTCACAGAAGTGACTTGGCCTGGGAAAGGGCTCAAGCTTTGGGGTACCCCTGGCTCCTGCCATGTGAGGTTTAGCTGCTGACTCCTGGGCTGCTCTGGGTGGGTGGCTGGGCCCGGGCCGCGGTGGGCAGGGCAGCGCCTTTCTGCCGATGCCCTCACCCCTCCCCTCCCCTCCCCGCATTCTCTCCCACAGGCTCCTGCTGCCGTGGAAGCCTGTGTCCTGGCTTGGTGCCTGCTGCGTCTTCCACACACACTCGTTGCTCCCGTGGACTGGCTGGGACGCGCCTGTCTCCACCACAGTCCGTCTTTCCCCCCGCCCATCCCTGGAGCAAGAGGACAGAAAGGGGCCTCCCTCCCTCCCTGCGCCCCACCTCTTCCATTTTCCCTCTGGTCCCTGTGGGTTCCAGCCCCCAAAGCCAGCGAAAGTGTTATGGACCCTAAAGATGGGAGCCACGTCTCAGAACAGTGCAGCGCAGAGTGAAGGGGATGCCGAGCCTCATCTGGAGCCAGCCTGGAGGAGCTCGGGGTGGAGGCAGCCCTGCACCCCACCAACGGCTGCCCAGTGAGGGCCAGAGTGCCGACGGGCCGGGCTTGCAGTCACTTCTGGCTCCTCAACGGGCAGCGGATTCCTGCTGCCACCCCTGCAGCTTCTCGCCTCTCCGAGGGATCAGAGCTGCTCGTTAGGTCCTAGAGACTGTTGGCTGGGCTTCCCCAGGGTGCCAGGGCGCTGGCCCGGTGCCCCAGCAAGCACGCGGCATGCAGCGTGTCTTCGTGTGCTTCCACATCATCTGGCCACCTTGCCCACGAGGCCCCTGGCTGCCTCCCCCGTCCCCAGGGCAACGGAGGTGTGGGGGCAGAGCCCCTTCCAGAGTTTTCCTGGAGCCATGAGCCGCCACCATGGGGGTCCTAGGGAGGAGGAGGAAGGGACACCCGAGCCGTTGTGGCCTCGTGACTGGAACCCCTCCCTCCCTCGGAAGGCCCCGGCTCGGGGTGCTGGGGTGACTGCTTGCCCTGCACCCACTCAGCCGCTACCACACTGACTACTCCCAGCCTCCGTGCTGATGTCAGCTGGCCGCGCCAAGGCCCAGCTCCGTGTTCTCTCCGAACTGAATCAACGGTGACTTTGATTTTTGTGTCTGCCCCCTGGGGGCAGGGAAGAGTGTTCCCGAAGGTTCTGCCTTGGACCTTCCTCGTCGGGCTCAGACACCCTGCCCTCCCCTGCCCCGTAATCACTGCAGTGTCCGGCCAGCGTGGAACAGATTGTAGTGTTTTGTCTCACAACAAACAAATAAATAGACTTTAATCACCACACTGGGGCCCAGCTCACTGCCCTTTGGGCCCTGGCCCCGCTGGGCTCTGGAGCGGCTTGTCCACTGCAGAGCCCTAGGGAGCCTCCAGCAGGTGGACTGAGGGCTCTGGGGGTCGCCCACGTCCTGTTGTGGGCCGTCCAGATCAGACTCACAGCACCCCTAGAGGACAGAGTGGAAGTGCCCCACAGGGTCTCCAAGGGTGTCTTCACAGAGGTAGACTGCCTCTTTGTCCTGGGTTCAGACGACCAGCCTTTCGGGTACAAGCCGAGTGTGCCTAACCACTGCACCACCAGGGCCCCAACATCCTGTCCCCGACATCCTGTCCCCAACATCCTGTCCCCGCCAGGGAATGCCACCTGGGGGTGGGGGAGGTGGAGGCTGAGGGGAAAAGGACAAGTGAGGTGTTTTTGAGACATCCCAAGGGCCCCGAAGCTGCCTGTTCAGGCCGCCTCTCAGCCTTGACCTGGAACCAGCCCAGTGGGCCGCCGCTCGGCTCCCCAGCCCACCGCTGGAGCACGCCCTTGCTACAGAAGGCCCTGCAAGTGACTCGGGCGTATCCTGCAGCCTGAGGAGACCCAGGGCGAGGCACCCCACCTTGGGAGCCTGAGGGAGGTGCCTGCATGTTCGGCCCCTGGCTGGGCTAAGTGCGGGCCCCGGTGCTTTCTACAGTCTCTGAAATGTCTGGCCTGGTGGGGAGGGGTTTGTTGGTTCTGCTCAGGCAGTTACCGCAGAGCCACCAGCTCGTGAAGGCAGGACCGGGATTCCCACCCGTGTCTGGACGTGTGTCCCCGCTCTGTTCTCACTCCTGCAGCCTTAACCACTGCCCCCACTCCCTCAGAGAGAGCTCCTGCCTGCACACCCAGGCCTGGGTGAGTGTGAGGGGTGGGGCAGCGCCTGGCATCACCACACAGAGCAAGGCCACCTGACGGGTCCAGGGAGCAGCCGGGACCTGCCCAGAGGCATCTGAGGCCAGCAGTGTGTCAAAGCCTCGGATCCCCACGTCTAGAAGGTGCAGGGTGAGTGCCGCCAGGTTGGCCCCTGCGGAAGCCATGCTGCTGAGTCACGGCCGGTTAGATCGGGTGACTCAGGCTCCGGGTCAATGATGTGACCACGCATCAGCTTGCCGGATTGAGGCTCCGGCTGGGCCTGGCCCTGGGTGGCGTGGCTAGGTGAGGATGACAGCGCTGAGGACACTGTCGGGTCCCGCGGCTGCAGCCCGCGCCCCACCCAGCTCAGACTGCAGATCCTGGGCAGCCAGCGCGTCCCAGCCCTGCAGCTGGGGGAGAACGAGGGTGTAGGGTGCCAGCGGGCCAGTCCAGGGCCAAGTGGGTGCTCATAACAGCCACCCCCACAAGATGGAAGACGGAGCTAAGCCCTGCAGGGACCCAGCTCTCCGCTCCAACTCACGTTGGGCCCTGTGCTGGGATGGAGCGGAGGGAGGATGTTTGCAAGAACCTGGGACGCCTGTGGGTCTCCTTGGGAGACAGTGGGCTGGAGAACTTGGGAACAGTCCATGCTAGGGGCCTTCTCACTCTGGTACTGGCTCCCCAAGGGCTGGGGCTGACTCCTCTGCTTGGTTCAAGCTGACGGAGCGTTCGGGACTCGGGAAGAGGGTAGGGCCCGGTCTTCGATGGGCTGAGGGGGGCTCCTCCTCCTTGGCTCCCTGCCCCCGGCACAACTCAAGTCACTGCTGCTTCTCAGCCTGTTCAGGGCCTCTGGGGAAGCCCGGGACGTCCTGAGGAAGAACTGTTGAGAGGCTGGTTTGCAGCCAGTCTTCTGCGGGGTGACATGAGGGAGAGGTGACATGTCTCCAAGGGAAGGGGCCTGGACTGTGGTTTACCTGTGGATGTGTGACAGATGACCCCACACCTACTTAGGCCGTAGTCAACCAGCTTTTCCCTGCGATTGGGGCCGGGATCTGTGGGGACCGGAGCACCCATTCCAAGGGGGCTCTGGGGTGGGTGCTCACTGTGGCTGTGACCTCTCCGGAGCAGGGCTGGTTTCCTGTATTATGGTGGTCTCAGGACATCTGACTGTGACCACTGACGCCCCCCAGCACACACTTTGGAAGGTTCCAGCCTTCTCAAGCCGCAGAATAGGCACCCAGTCACGTTGGTTAAGAGTAAGACCCAGAGCCAGTCCCCAAGCGAGGGGAGGAGCTTCCCGTGGCTAGAATACAGGGACACGTGGTGCCACCAAAGTGGCCACCAGACAGCCTGGGTGTCCCGGGATGTGGACACTGGAGCAGTCTGTGGTCCTCCCTGAGCCTCAGATATTTGTCCAGGATTGAGGGGATCGGGTCCCTATGCTCTCCAAGGGCCATTCCGTTCAAACCCACACCATTGTTCTCTGCATGACCTGGCTTCTAGTGAGGTGTCACTTCACCTGTGTCCTCGGGCAGCAGTTCCACCCTCTAGTCCCCTTTATTTTCCCTGCCTTGACGTGAGGTTGCCCTTCAGGTCCAGTGGGGGGGGTGTCACAGGAGGAAAAGGCAGCGGCTGCCCTTTCTGTCACTCGCTGTGACTCACCTGGTGGACCAACTGGGCGGCCTCATCGTCCACCGCACACACCTGGCCCAGGCCCAGCCCTTCTCCGTGTTCCGGTGAACACCTGAATGCTCATCACTGCTTCTGGGGGCTGTTCTCTGGCTGGTACAAGCTCAGCTCCTGCTGTCCAAGTTCCCAGGACCGGCTGTCCCGCTGTGAACTGTCACGGGGGGATGGAGGAGGCCTAAGGGAGTGTCCATTTCCACTGGAACCTGGCTGTCCTGTGTCCAGAGGTGTCCTCGACACCATCACCTGTGGTCTCGGCCCACCTGACCAGGGCTAAGGGGCAGAAGGTCAGCCAGACAGACAAGGGCTTCTGTGGCCAGCCCAGCTCTCTCTCCTATCCTGGCTTCAGGGGGTGAGGGGTGAGGGGAGGGGGGCCCAGGGCAGCACATCTCCCCAGGTTTGGAATTTTTTTTTCCTTCCTAAACCTGGCCCTTTTCTTTGTCCTTTTGGCACCACTGCCAGGACCAACATGCCTTGTGCTTGGGGTTGCTGTGACCCTGCCAATTCTTTAGAGCTGAGCTCCAAAGCACCTCCTCCAGGAAGTCTTCCTGGAGTCCCTCCTCTTCAATGCTCCACCTGCATCCAGGTGCCCCACTGCTTGGGTTCTGACTCTCGGCTTTGCCCCTGTGCCCACGGTCAAGGGCAAGGAATGCCACAGACCCTTCCCCAGATCGGACACTGAACCAGGCTCCCAGAAAGCAGAGGCCAAGGGGCTGTTTAACTGAATTGATCAAATGGCAGACAGACAGATGGATGAGGAGCTGCAGGCCATGGCTTTTATTGATTTAGACCTGCGGGCTTCTCTAAGGAACCCGGTTCTCCACGCTGCTCAGCCTCCCAGCTACCAGTAGCTGACTTGACTTTGAGCAGGCCGCAGGGACAGGCCCATACTTCTATTTTTCCCGTCCCTCCAGCAGGTCCTCCGCCTCCCTCATCATCCTGAGGCCACCCAGGCTCTGGGGCTGGGCCTTCTGAGGTGCAGGAGGGCTTCTGGTGGGCACTCCTCCCAGGTATGTGTGACTTCCCCTCCTGTCCCAGAGAACCAGCCCTGCACGCATGATCCCTACGGCCTTTCCAGGGCCCCAGAACGGGTTCTCTTGCACAGGGGACACGTGGACTCCTCCAAGGCTCCCCAGGACCTCTTGGGCCTAAGCCCCACGACCTCAGGGGGATTGGGCTGGCAGGGGACACCCTTGGCTGGGTCCACGATGGAGCTGGAGGCTGAGGAGAGAAAGGGAGGAGTTTCTCAGGGATACAAAAGGGGAGGTTGCTAGGCCAGCCTGGGACCCTCAGGACCAGAAGGGAAGAGGACTGGGTCTTCCTACTTAAAGAGACTTCACAGGACCTAGGAGGAAGATGGTGCAAGCTGGAAGGGCTCTCATCTAACCAGAAGCCCTCATTTTACAAATGGAGAAACTGAGGCCCCGCCAGGGACAGAGAGTGCAAAGTCCCATGGTAAGTGCAGAGCTGGACAGGAACCCAAGACTCGGATCCCAGAGGTCCCCATGCTTCACACACCCTCGCCCTGACTCTCAAGCCCCTGGAAATCCCACAGGCCATGGGTTGTGTGTGACAACCGTGGACTAGACCTGGAGTGGGACACAGGGAGGGTGAAAGGTTCATTGGGCTCTGGCCCTCTGGCGCAGGATGTCCCTGTGGGGTGTTTCGGCCACTTTGTCCCTTCGTAGTCACTACCAGAAGCCCAAAGGCTTGAGGGTGTAGAGGGATCCATCCTGAGCCCCCGCCCCGCCCCAGATCCACCCCCACCCTAGCGCCGCCCCACCTAGCTCCACCCCTAGCCCGGCTCCACCTC